TTGATCTCTTGAATATTTACTTCTCTAAGTCTTTCTGCTGTAACTCCCTCTCTGTTATTTATGGGATGATTATCAGGTTTGTGAATTATTGAGTTCCTTTCTTTTCTGTCTTTATATTTACTTGCTTACTATCACCTACACCATTAAAGTGAACCAAGAAAACAGGAGTCAAATGTTTTACCTGACTGTTTAGTGACCCACCTTCTGCTGGGTTCTAATAGATGTGTTCAAAATACCCCAGCTTTTGAATAAAAAAGAATTTTGGGAGCTCTAGACAATAATAAGTTAATTCAAGTAAAAGTTTCCTCCTTCGAAACTTACATTTAAGAAGTCAGCTTCAGCTCCTAATTCTTTTGTTGACATTAATACTGTCTTTATCTCAGGAAGGACTAGATGAGAAAGTCTTTTAAATGAATTTGTTTAATTATTTCCCTTCCTCAAGGAGGTAAAAAAATCAAAAGGGCGGCCAACTTTTGAAAAGAAAGGTCACTTATCCCTTACATTTAGAGAGATAAAAAGAGAGAACTAAGGAGAGGTAGCAAATTGTAAAAGCCTCAGAATTTTCCTGTAATTCATGAATGTCGAATTTCTAACATGATTCCATTATTTGGTCTAGCACACTGAACTTCTAGGTTCAAGCCAGCATTAGTAAACAGTACTGCAAAGTACATGAATTATTTTTGAGCTGCTATAATATTGGCTCATTCCATTACGGTGGAAGGCAGAGAGCTGTGTTTGTGAATTTTCTTTAATCCATATTTCCTAAAACATGGCAAAAGTGAGCAAGCTATACAGGGATTCTTTAATTCGTACTTTAGCTTTTCACAATTTCAAATATTTCTAATTATGTTGCTTGGAAGTGAGTACAGTATCCAAAGTCTTTTCCTTTTACCTCCTTCCGTTTGCACGTAGACAAATCATTCACCCTCTGTAGCTCAGTTTGCTCTTCTGCAAGATGGGAATGATTACACCGCCTCCTTCAGAGGGTTGACTATATTAACACGTACAAGTTAGGTATTCTTAGCAACAGCACTATAGCCAAGACATATTCCAAAGCCAGCATGAGATGTAAGTGTTATCTCTGGAAAATACAGTTTCCATTCAGGGATCTAGGACTCTGGACCCCACCTGTACCCCCAAAGGCAGGTGGATGGGAAAACTTTCCCCAGGACTCCATACAGTCCCCCCACCAGGGACTACTTTTCATCCCCACACCAAATTTCATGACTCACCTGGAGGTACAGAAGTGAGAATGGTTATGGGGTGGGAAGAGTTGGTTTGCATGGGACTTTCTTCCCTCAGGCTTACAATGGAGAGAACAGAAACTGTCTCTGGTAGCTTTTAGCGATGCTTGACTTTGACACTCAGTATGACAAAGTGGGAGGTAGAACGAGGGATGAGAGGATAGAGCACATCTTGCTTGTTGTCAACAAAAATTTATGTGGAGGACTTCAAAAAGATAAAAGCATCAACAATTTGCGCATCTATACAGGCGTACCTGCATCATTTAAAAACCAGTAAGTCAGTAAAAATTGTTCAACCTCATGTAAATTAAAAGAATATGAGGAGATAAGCTCTGACATCTTACTGATAGGAAGATAAATTGATACAGCTTTTTAAAGAAAGCAATCTGTCAACATTGCGCAAGTCCTAAACAACATACTTATATTTTCACTAATTTTGCTTTTGGAAGGCTATCCCCAAGAAAGAAAGTTTCTATAATTGGAGACAAGCAAAGTGTCCCCTTGTGTTTCAACCTAAATGTTTCAATTCTAAGAAAGAAATTGGTGGAATGCTACAAAGGGGAACAAAACTCAAAAGAAGTGCCAAGAAGCTTGTCTCTTGTGAAATCATATGAGTAATCTTTTTTTTGACTTAATCTTTCTGTCCATATATTCCATATATCATGTGTATTTTCTAAGCAAAGAAAGAAAAAATTAACATTTGAAAATGCTGAAAAGTTCTGACCGGCTCACCAAATGCCCTTCACATCCTTACTGGTACAAATGTTTCCAGGTGGAATCAGTGGCGGGGAAAAGGTGACAGTGCAATATCATTACAATAAAGTAAGAAGGAAGGTACACAGGGAAGAGCAGTCTGTTGATAAGAAAACAGGAGGACACATGAAAATAAGCTGATGGCACCAGAGCCCACTGTGAACATGGACACGAGACCAGTCCATGTGGTGCTGCACCCCACACTTCCTACCACTGCACCCACTTCCTCTCCACTCATGACACTGCTGCCCAAAGGCATCTATCCAGCCAAGGGAGAAAGGAACCACCTCCTCCCAGAACATTCCACCCATCCGGGTGATACGGAACTCTAATCTCCAGAATAGGGTATTTGGTCCACACCTACCAGTTGGCCCGACTGTAATGGGCTGTGAAAAGCCTTGCTCTGCAAATCATGAGTGGGGACATGTCTAAATGAAATGTGTGCTCGCCAGCCCCATGCAGGCAGCAGGGTGCTCTCTAATGTAGAACTTGTTGCCTGGGAAGCTATGGCTGCTGTTTTAATGCATGATGATAAAGATCAAGCTTTCCTTTTTCTAGGGTCTCAAAAAGTGCTGGTAAATTATTTATCCTGTTGAGTCACATGATTTCATTTCAGTATGTCAGTGTTTATTGTGGAGGCTCATTCTAATTGTTATAGCTCAGGGCCTTGTTCTCCTCTCTCCTGAGGGTACTTTGTAACCCCCTCCTCTACCTCCAAATAGAACTGTTGCTCTGCTAATTTAGTATAGTCTTAGCTACTGTGTACTGTTCTGAAAGATGGATGAATTTCATTCTGTCTTTAAATATTTATGTTTCTTTATGATCTAATATATCATCATGGTTATGGGGAATGTTTCTCCCCCTTATAAAAAATACACCATCAGTTAACTGTCAATTTTGTTTAATGACTCAGCTTTGCAACTCTGGGGCACTGTTCATCAGAGGCACTTGAGGACTCTTTTAGTCTCTCCGTTCACTTCAGAATGTCATTCTGTGAGCCACAAAGGTCTGCGTCGTACGGAGGACGTTGAAACCTTAAGGACTTAAGTGGCGTGCCCTTTATCATTCTCACGCTGGAGGATCTCAGGCTAGAAATCCTGCCATCTTTGTTTAGTCATTTGCTCCCAGCATGGAACAACAGTCTCTGCAGAAAATCAGCCAGTACTCCTGGAAATAATTCATCAGATTTTTTCAAAAGAAATCCAATTTCTTCTGGTCTGATGAGTTCGGTGCTGCTTCTTAAGATAAATGAAGAAAATATCAACATCATAATAGAAAGAAACTCAATTCTTCCAGTTTAATCTCAGTGAAAAGCATTACAACCCACTTATTGCTGCTCTCTTCTTCCCTGGTGCTCTTAAGCCTTTGGTTCAAAGAGCTAAGAACGGCTGAGTAACTGTTCCCATGTCAGACCCTGGGTTAGAGCTCTGGCTGGTTCAGAACCTTTGGGAATCACAATATCTGGAAGTGGGCCTCAGGAGTCCATGTCAGAGCTCCCCAGGCATGCCACACCTTGCAAAGTCTCTTCAGCTAGCTTTCTAGCTAAAAAGAATCATGAACCCCAAATTCTTCTTCCACTTGGTTAACCTAGATTTGTCTTGGTGTTCTTCCTGAGCAATTTTAAAGATGATTTCTTAAGTAATTCCCTAAACAGACAGCTTTCTCCCCTATCCATGTATCTGTGAAGCAGAATTAGATGATGGAGACCTTGTTTCTCAAATCAGGGGCTAGTGTCAGGGAGGAAGCCCTGGTGTATCAGGGAGCTGGTGAAGCCATTAAAAAAAAAATAGGAGGCATCTTCCTATAGTAGCCTCAAGTTTTTCTTCAAAGCAGCATTTTAAAATTGCAACATTTATTATTCTTGTCGTCTGTGACAAAAAGTATTGGGGGCCTCCCTGGTGGTGCAAGGGGTTAAGATGCAGCCTATGAAGCTGTTCGCAGCCTCTGCAGCATGAGTTTGATCCCCAGCCATCCAGGGAGCTACCCACATGGTGCAGCAGACTTCTGTTTCGCCTGCTGCTCCCCTCAGCAGTGTATTTCAGTCAGTCTGCCTGTTCTGCTCCCCACTCTGTCTCTGGTGAATCCTCTCATCCCCCACACCTCTGGCCTGTACCCCAGCTCCTGTATGCACAAAAAAATAAATCTTTGTAAAAAAAAAGAGTATCGGGTCTGGAGTCACACACCTGCTTCACTTCCGGCACAGCCACTCACTATCTTTGCGACACTGGGACATCCTCTTAACTTCTCCCTGCTGCAGGTTCCCTGCCCAAGAAATGGGAGCAATAGCCCCTAGGAGTGGTGAGGCTGACATATGGAAGTTAACTTCGTCTACAGAAATATAATCATTTCACTGCTTCTCATTGCCTTTCCTCCTTCTCTCTGAGCTATTGGAGACAAAGAGCTGTGTTTTGTCACCATATTCTACTATTACTGTTATTATGTTATGATTAATGCATCATTATTATATTTCTAATAGTACTTAATGTTTATGGAGCATGGAGAATTGTACCAGGCACCATACTAAGTGTTTCCTATGGATTAATTAGTTCTCCCAATAACCCTAAAAAGTACGCGCTATTAATCCTGTATTATGGAGCCTCCAGTGAGTGAGTGAATGGATAGGACAAAACTGTTGGCAGTGCCTCTGTGAGTATTTCTCTCACTTTGGATTCTGTCCCTCAGCTTCTCCTTCTTTGGCTCTCTTGAGATGAATGCAAAATTAGGAGAAAATGTTGCATGAACTTAGACTTTGAAGACGTGAGCTTGCCTGGGTCTTCATACAGACTTGTCCTCATGAAAAGAGTCCCAGTGAACTCCAAGAGGACACCGATCATGTATGACTTGCCCTCCATGATATTCGTGGGGCCCATGAGCAAGATCTCGGGATCAGCAAAGCCCTATTGCATAAGCTAAGTCATTCGTAAGCAGCCTGTTTGTCACCACTAAAACCACATCCATTGCTAACGAGGAGACCATGAGCAGTGTTCTCTGTTGCTTTCTCAGGCAGTACTACGAGATGTTGTACAACACGGCCGATGAGCTCTTGAACCTGGTGGTGGACCAGGGCGTGAAGTACACGGAGCTGGAGTACATCCATGCCCTGACCTTGCTGCACCGCAGTCAGACGGGGGTGGGAGACCAGACCACCCAGAACATGAGGCTGCAGCGGCTCAAGGAGATCATCTGTGAGCAGGCTGCCATCAAGCAAGCCACCAAGGATAAGAAAATCACCACGGTTTAATGGGGTGCACTTGCTGGGAAGCGGTGGGTGGAAAGTGGCTATTTTTGTTTTGTTGATCACACTCCTTTCTTTGACCTGTTTGGTATATTTTACACTGATTTAGTTTTCTCTGCACTGATACATTAGTGGAGAGAAGCTGTAAGGATTTTTTTTCTCTGTAGTTTTGGCTTTTCATATCTATTCTAAAGGGAGCTTTTAGTACAGAAGGTTTTAGTTTGGCATCTACTTTAACATAGTCTATGCCAAAGGGATGATGAGAGGGCGGGATGGGGATGTTATGTCAAGTTATTCAACTGACAAATGAATGCATGCATTACTAACACTTTCTTCCTTGCCCAGCAATCTCTGGAAAGTAAACTGCTAGCCAAGTTTTAGTCCCAAACTAAAATCACAACTACGTAAACAGTAAGATTTGTATTCTCTTGGCCTTGTGGGTTACAATTCAATGAAATAAATGTATGTGCACTGCTTTCTGTATAACCAAGCTCAAAGCAATGGCTTCTCCACCGGCTGGAGTTTTCAACAACTTCCCCTAACCAAAACAGGGCCTCTTGAGGACCAGGGGAATGAGGCCACTTATCCCAATCCTGGAAGAAGTTTACCTGCAGTAGCTTGTACACAAAGTACAGGTTGGTTTATTCCCTTTTTGTTATTTCCGCTGTATCTCAGCCAACAGCCAGCAAATGAATGACAAAAATGGGAGCATGAAAGATGACTCAACCCTCTTCTTGAATTCTCCCCCTCAACTCTCCAAGGGAAAATGATGGTAGAGAACTTTTAACTGCATCTGAAACATTGGACATGAGTGAGTCTTAGATGCTCCCTTAGTGTCCTTATGATCCCCTGGGTCTGTCTCACCTTAGAAAGCAGCCCTGGTCTGCTCAGCTGAATGCAAGGATGATTGGTCAGCCATGCCATTCCTCCTAGGTGAGCCCACCCAGGAGTCCCTCTGCAGTGCTCTCATGGTGTGGATTCTCCACTCCTACTCCACCGGACCTTACCACTCTCTCCCGGTTCCCAAGCACTCTTGCTGCCCATGGTTGATATGTCACAGGAGGAAACAACATACTGATGTGGACACACCTTGAAAATATTTGGGAAAGAGAGCAGGAAGTCCTTTGGCCCCACATGGTCATACCTCACGCTATGAAGGTCCAAAATTATATATGTTTGTACAACTTTGGTCTTGGCGGAAAAGAGCAGAAAATTAAAATGTTTTGAGAAGCTTAAATGTTGTGTCTTGATTTTGTTTTGTTTTGTATTCTTTATTTAGAAAATATCCCCTAAGGGCCAAGTATGTGCCACATGCTACTAGGCATAGGGGCAGATACAGAACAATAAAGGACAGTCTTATCTACCTTCAAGACAAGGCATGAGAACTGGACTCCAAACCAAAATCCCAACAGATGTACACTCAAGGCTGAGTTAGAAATCAGGCCACGCAGAGGGGGAGCTGTGAAGGGAATCAGCAAAAAGCTGGAGGGTGGTCTTCCAGGGAGTTCTGGAAGGAATGTTGTAGACCTTTGTGGCTTTAGGTGCCTGATTAGGAAGAAGTTGAATGTACTCAGGAAACAACCAAGGAAAATCATAGGCACCAGCATGGGAAGTTGCCTCCAAGAAGTGGAGGAGGGAGGAAGGAGATGTGGAGCCATCAGAGCTGATCACTTGGGTTTGAAAGCCTCCTCCTAGTAGGCATGGCCTCCCAGCACAACTCTCTCTCTCCTTCCTGTCCACTCCAGGCCAAGACCTCTGGAGCATTGACAGTGATGCCAGAAGAGGCGGGGGTGAGACTGGAGAGTGACTTGGGTGTTGAGTTGGATGTAGACAGGGACAGCCTCAGTCAGGAACAATGAGGACTGGTAGGAAAATGGCAGATGAGCTACTTCTGGGGCAGCATTCAGCATTCTAGAATCTCTACATTGCTTACAATAATGATAGGCTTGAAAAATGTCAATTCTGCACCAAAAAAGCAGTCTAGGATGCTTTGTCCACAACATTCAAACTTAGACTTCTTTGTAAATGGTCTGTCCATCTTTTCTCTTCAATATCAAGAATAGCCAAGGACACATTCAGTGCTTGTTGAAAAGTTGCAGGCAGAGAAGTGCAGGGACACATGAAGATTTCTACTGTTGTGAGCTGCTATGGTTCTTCTTTAAGATACCGTGTGAGACTGCCTTGTGCTGTTCACAACCACAAGCAGAAAGTACTGGAAAGAGTCAGGGGAGCGAAGGACAGGGCCCAGCATTTTTCACCATGAAGACTGCTCCCTAAACATGCTGTTAAAGCTAAAAAAGGCCAACAAAATAGGCCTCCCCAGAAAGGACACTGAAAACAAAACAAAACATTGTCTCGTTTTTCTACCACGGAACAGACAGGATGGACAAGAGTGGACTTCTATTGACAGCAGTAGGCCCTGCGCCTTGGAGAAAGCTCTTAAGGAAACCACCTGAGGGGAACGGCAGACTTAACCATGAGGAAGGACAACTGTGAGGAGAGTCCATCTAGCCGGGCACCAGAGAGTTAGCTCCACATGCAATAGCACAGGGACAAAATAGGCGTCTCCATCACTGTCATCTACACCACAGGACTTAACACATCAGCCCATTTCATCCTCAAAGCAGCCATGTTAGAGATACTGCTTTCCGCCTTCATTCCCAAGGGAGCAACAAATACTAAAGAAGACCTTCCCTGCTCAGTCTCCCTTAGGAAAAATGCCTTGAAAAGCAGTACCATAATCAAAGGATGGGCCCCAACTCTTGGTAGATGTTGGCAAATTGTGTCCTCAGAATCGCTGACAGTGGCTGCTGCTTCTACAGTCTTTTGTTGTTTGTGATAACCTTTTCACCTGTCACCCCACCTCTTAATTTAATAAACTACTTTTTGGCTATGGTGCCATTCACCCTAAGAGTTTCGTTTATGTCTGTGCCATTAATATAATTTCTTTCCGGGAATTTCATCCTCATGCAATGTCTTTATTCCTACCTCACAATGATATTGATATTTTTTTTTAATCTTATTGCCCAGTTGGAACTTTTCCCGCTCATATCTGATTATCTCTCTGTCGATTAGTTAAAGATGGCCCCTCAGGCTTTCCTTGCCCAAAGAGGGCCTCTCTTTCTGGGCTTTAAAAGACAAATTCATCTTTGAGTTGGCAAGTTCAGCTCAGATTCAGCGGTCGGACTGGTCTGTGCTCTCATACCCTGAATAACCAGTCATGCAGAATCGTTTGGGGAGTAGGGAGTCTCCCACCTGAAATGGCTGCCCGTTGCTGAGTGACCTAATTCATAGCCCCACTCCAGCACCAAATGTTTTCTCAGGCTGACTGTTATTAATGTATGTTTCAAAGAACTTGGAAGAAAAGCTCAAATACAGCCAAGCTGGATTGGCACCCGAGCCTGGCGGTTCTGTCAAGTCATATCCATGACTGTCTTAGCGCTAATGGGTCCACTCAGTCAAAAGGTAGAATTGCCTGTTAAAGCTCAGGTGACATGGACTCCATGCAATGGTGAGTAGAGTCCCTGCGACAAGGGGACTGACCTTTCTCTATGACCTTGTCCTCCCAGACTCCATATTTCCTCCACCAAGCCAAGCCTTCTTTTTGGAGACACCCCATAGGACATGACTGACCCTCTGCTGCTCTCTCCTCAGCCTCCCACTGGAGACACAGGACTGTCCCTCCCTGGGGAGCAGGGGCCTAGAAGTTCATCACCCTTTATCATACCAGTGGAACAAATGGATTTGCCCTTCCCAGACGTGCCAAATGCACCAAGGCCATTGCACTCAGGATTCCTGCTCAGTGGCATAGCTGTGGCTGCCTCCCCAGAACCATGGCACTGAAACTTCCTAGTAAAGAACAGGGGGTCACCATGGCTCAGTAAGCCCCAACTAGACTCAGTCTCTTCGGGGCAGTTGTGATGAGAAGACAGGAAGGTCGCTGTCCTTCTAGCAGGATAAGAAAACAAGGGGTATCCTAATCAAGATTTTTCTTGAAAAGCAAACCGTGTGCTGAAATGCACATACCTGAAAGCTACTGTCCCAGCGTGGCAGGGATGGAAGGCAGATGGGACACAGTTTGGAGGGAGGGGAACGAGGTACCAAGAACACGAAAACAAAGAATGCCTGGGCTCAGCAAAGGTCTCGACTCTGTCCTAATTAGGCACAGTTTTTATAAGAAGTACATAATTAATAAGCTCATGACCAGATGCAAGATACAGCAGAGTCTTTTCCTGAAATGGAAGTTGTAATGAAGTGTACACAGCTGGAAGCGGTTGTCCTCATTTGGCTGAGGCGGGAGGCCTGCCTGGAATTTTGAAGAGGTGTAGTAAGAGGCTCGCCACAGGTTTACACCTGAAAACAACTAATCCTCCTCCAACTGGGCTGGGTGTAATGAGATATGGCTAATTATCAAGAGTGTAATGAGATGCAAAAGCCCGTAGAATTGAGCTGGAAATTTCTTTAAAAGTGAACTAAGATTCAGACACCAGAGAAGAATTTCTGCTAATGGCACTAGGTGTGAGTGTGATGAAATGTGCGTGGTAGGAGGGGTTGCTTTTGCATACCTGGCCCAAAGACTTATGTCTGCAATTAAAAATATTGCTAGCACATTCACACACCTGGAGCAGGAGTCCCTGGGAAGCCGAGAATGCACTGACCCATGGGGGCTGCACGTGTGTTTTTTAATGCATGTATATGTGCTTATGTATGTACGTCCAGCTGGGGGGAAAATGAGGTTAGGTGCTGCCGTGAGTGTGGTTACCTTTACACTCCATCCCATTTAGAAATGCAGTCTCAGATTTCTGCTGAATTTGCAACGGATACCCTAGGAGGAGAGAAATTGGCAAACTCCTCATCCCAAACTTACTTAATTACCTACCAGGTGAGTTTTTTTGCACAAGGATTTATTTGCTGGGAGAGACCAGGAAACCATTAGCACTTTTTTTGTCATGGTTTTTATTTTATGTTTGCTATTATGTTACTTTACACACCATTATTGAGCACTTAATATATGTGAGGTGCTGTGCTGAATGCTTTACCTCGTGATTCTATTTAATCCTCACAATAACCTTAAGAGAGGGACACTATTGATCCTTATTTCAAAGACGACTCAGGCTCAGATTAAGGACCTGGCCCCAGGCAGATAGCAGAGCCAGAGTTCATGCTCGGAGCCCGTCTCTTCTCTGAAATGAGCCAAACCCCTCATCCCCCCCATGACGCAGGAAGGGACCCCACATACTACATTTAGCTCCCAGTGGCAGATCAGCCCCTCCCATCTGCTCTGCCCTTCCTGTGGGCCCCAGAGGGAGTCATTTCCAGAATGAATTTGGGCCACCTCTCCTGGTCCCCTCTCTGCCCCTCCTCGGCCCCCTGCTGCCTGAGTCCACCCCTGTGGCCAATATGTCTGCATACCTGTCGGACACAAAAAAATCTCTGGGACCTGGGGCTGAGCCTCACCAGCTGGAGGCCCATGAGGACCCATCCCTGAGCCAAAGCCTGGAGAGCATCCAAGGGAGGGACAAAATGCCCAGGTTTTGACTGTGCCGTACGTTGGCTCAAAGTTGTCACCTCATCTCAGCCTTTTACAAGTGTTTCGATATTGTATGTGTTACGAAGTGCCAAGAGCCTCTATTTTCTCATATGTGAAATGGGAGAATAATATTTCTCCCTCAACAGTATTGCTGTATAAAATAAGAGGGGTTCAGTGCCTGGCACATTATGCTACAGAGACATCATAATACTAGAATATTTTCTGTTTCTTTGAGGATCTAGGGAACCAGGATCTAGAAAACATGCTCTGTTGCTGTGGCCTAAGAGCGCAGCCACCCTGGCTAGGGCCTGACATCAGTGAGACCTCCACGGCGCCAGGTGGGGCTCAGGACAGCTGTTTGCTGTGCGTGGGCACCTGAACTCTCCAGGCAACAGCAGGTCCTGGTGTTGTTCTCCCGCACTCCCTGCCCCCGGGCTCTAGCTTCTCACACCTGCTTCCTCTTTACCTATTAGAGAGTTTGCATCTCTTGTGGGCCAGTATATTACCTGCGTCTCATTACACTCTAGGCTCCAGGACCCTTAGGGAGCAGGACCTCATAGACCCCCGGCGTCCCGCCTGGCGTCTGAGCGTGCTGTCACTCTTCACGCCTATGCTGAGGAATGTCGGTTGTTCACAAAGGACTCTATGAAACTGAGGTGAGAAAGTGTTACTTTTTTTTTTTAATATCTCTAAAGCAAATCTAGCAAAAGCCGAACTTTGGTCATTTTTGGTGGTTTCTTCTGGGGGAGGAGACGTGGCTGCCATGAAGACAGTGTCTTGTCCCAATCACTTCATCTGCCCTGCTCTGGTGACCTGGTGCCCTCTGGTACTACAGCTCGGGGTGCAGAGGTCTCAGCAGTGTCCCCAAGCTTTATGGGGGGACAACCACCAGGCCTCAGTGGTCCAGCCTTCCCAGGTGTCCTATAACCTCAAGGGCCTCAGACCTTGTCTGCTGGAAGGCTGGGGTCCCCATGGACTCAGCCCTGGGGGTCCAACACTCCAGGATGGACTGTCCCCCTCCCTTTGTTCCAAATTCCCTGGTCTCTTTTCTTTCCACGACTGGGTGATCCAATTCCCTTCCCTTGGCCTGGACCTTCCAAAACAGTAAGCTGCTTTAGGGAGTTTCCCAAGTGACTGCACCTTCCTTGCTCTTGTCTCCCCCCCCACCCCCACCCACCACCCCCACCACCCCCCTACCCCCCACCCCCGCTTCCTGCTTCCTTTTCTGCCCTCACACAGGAATTTCATAAGGCCGGCCCCTGGGTGTAAAGGGAACAGTCCCCAGATAGCCTTCCTAGAGGGTGGCAGAAGGAAAGGTCATTCTTTTTATCCACTTCAGGGTGGGGCAATAATATGGGATTTGTTAGTAACTCACTCTCTGGATTCACAAGCGCTAGTTAGAACTTAGAGAGCTTTTGTCTCAGCCACCTCACTTTTGCTGAGGAGTAAAGCAACAAGGTCTAAGAGAAGCGCACAGGGATACTTAGTTAATGACTGAGACAGAATCAGGACCCAGGTCTCCCAATGGCTTATCCCAGGAGCCTGCATTTGGGAGCCCAGATGTGCCCCCCTGTAAGGCAGCTGATCCAGGGATAGCAGGCAAAGCCCTTCCCTCAAAGACACCATCTCGTGTAAAGAGAAGAGCAACATGCACGAATTAACTGTGGACTATTCCAAGCCAGAGTAGCGCCGCACACTCATTGTACAGTTCAGACTAAATGCTTGAGGAATTAGAACAAGGGATAATGGCTGTAGACCATTGCTAGCCAGATCCAACCTAACGGAATTGCTAAAAGTAGCCCATGGACTTGAAGAACATGTGGAGCTAGGGTCGTGATGGGAAGATCTGAGATGAAGCGGGACATTTTGACAAATCATACAATTTAAAAAAGCAAGCAGAGAAAATGATAACCTAACCTTGCCTTTCCTGACTAATCTGTGTAACATAGAGGCTACCTATGATGAGGAGAGCAGAGAGAAAGGGAGCTTGAAGATGAAGTTATTAGCATCAAAGCGAACTCTGTAAGTGGAGTGAGGAGAACAGAAGAGGTTCTGATTTACCTCTAAGTACTTAGCACATTTGTCTGGAAACAGAGGCAGCAGGGTTGTGTTGTTCACTGAAGAGTTAGTCCCTGTTTACATCTTTTGCTTTCTCTGCCTCCTTCCTATATTTTAAATCCTATATTATTAGGGTGCCAGTACCCATAATTCCTAGTTCAGTGTATCCAACTATTTATAGGAATGTTTCTATATATATATAATATATAAAGATTTTTTTAAAAAAAACATTTATTATCATTAACTATTGTTAAAACATAGAAGCCTAAAATTTCACTTAGGTATAAATATCCCTGGACCAGTTCTTTTTTCTTTGAAAGCTTTCCATCACAGTGACATTCAATTCAAGGTTACTCCAACGTGTCACTCCTGTGACAAGTCAGAACCTGTCACTAAAACAGGAAATAGAGTGGGAGAATAAATTATTTTCCGATTTTCTATCCTCTCCTTCAACGAGCTCAGAATTCTTTATATTTCTCAGATGTCCCAAAGGAAGTAAATATTAAGGTTTTCAAAGAGATCTGAAGTTGCAGATCTGAAATGCTGTTAACTCAGCTAGTTTTAAGAGGGAAATAAAACACAAGGAACTAGAACTTATGGCACTTAAAGAACTGCAATTCACTCATCTGTGAAATAGCAAATATTAAAGTATTTTCAGGGGTGATAGAATATTTTTAAGTTATTGAAGTTTTTATTAAATGTTATTTTCTTGGACTTTCATATCTGTGTTTCCTAGATGTGGTTAGTTGTGGTGTATGTCCTGGCCCAGCAGGCCCTTGAAATGGTTATATACTGTCCCAGACCCTACTCAGAGTTCAGAAGGGAGTAAGAATATCTAAGTGATTCACCTTCTATGCCCTCCCTTCATTGAGGACTGGTTGGCGTAGCCCATTCTGGCAGCTATCTCAAAAGACCATAGACTGGATTGTCTATGTGATGTTTATTCCTCATATTACTGGAGGCGAGGCAGTCTAAGATCAAGGCACTGAGGAATTCAGGGTTTAGTTCTAGTTTCTAGTTTGGATTAGCACCTTCTCCATCCTCACATGGTAGAAAGAGTTAGCGTTCAGGGTTCTCTTGTATAACGGCACTAAACCCATTCATGAGGGCTCTACCCTCATGACCTAAGTCCCTGGCTCCTTATCCATGACATTGGGGATTGGGATTTTTAACCTATGAACTTTGGGAGGACACACACCTTCTGGTCAGGAGCCGCTAACATTCAGTCCATAGCACAGATCTAAAGCAGTCTGGCATTCTCATTTGGCAGGGCCTTTGATAAATATCGAAATCTTCAAACCACAAAAAGTAAGAAGGCGCAAGTTGCCTCCTCCCCACAACTTTGCTAGCATGTAGTATATGCAAGTGAGCAGGCCACAGCTGACATGTGCTAGGAAAAAGGCCAAAAACTGGCTTTCAACATGCTCTGTGTATCAGGTCAGTCCTCACTCTGTCCCTTTGAGCTCACTGCAACGCAGACACAACAGTGTTTGTCAGCAGAACCAGACTCACCTACTCAGATCTGGAGATAAAATTTTCTCCACTTATTCTGGGGAATCTGGGCCCCAAAGTGTTGGTCTGTTGCTGTCAAGACTGGGCATACTTAATTTCACATTCATTCATAAAAAGATGGCAACAGCTGAGAGTCTTAGCCAGTCATGCCCATATCTTGAACATATTTCACCACTCATTTCTAACCCCTGTCATGCTCATGACCCCTCTGGGACTGTTCAGGTGGCAATTCTTGAATAGTCTGCCCTGATCACATCTGGAGAGCAAAGTGCTAGAAACACCCCCAAGTCTGGTCTTTGAAGGCAGCATTTCTCAAGGAGCTATCTGCTTAGGCTACCTTGCCCGTCGTTAATATCCCACCTTCAGATGGGACATGACTTTGCACATTTGAGACCCACAACTCAAATGAGCAAGAAGGAACTCTGGGTGCATTCCCAGCCCACCTCAGAGCACAAAGATCCTACCTCGGTGCATAGGACATAAGACCAGGCTCAGCTCCAGTGATGATGCTTCTCTGACCCACTGAGCCCTTTCCTGCAGTCACCCACCAGCAGGAAGCCTGACTAGCAGCCCCATGGACTAGTACACAGAGTCCCTTCCATCCAATGAGTCTGTTACTGTTGCAAACTCACTCCCTGCTCAAGGGGGCAGAGCTTGATAGCCTTTTCACATCAAGATTTAGAGACATTTCAGCTGGTTCTGTTAATACCCAGGGCCATGCCACTGTCCCATAGCTTATTAATAATGTATAGCTGCAGCCACTAAGTTAAGCTACAGACATGGCTCATCTGCATGATTAGCTCTTACCTTACTAATTAGAAAGTTTCATCCTGCCCCCAAACCTACCCTTTCGGAATGAATGCTTCTTTTAAAGGGAATCAGGTTCTCTTAAAAGGCATCTCAAATCCAAAGAAAGTCAACAACAAAAGTAAAAACCTGTAGTTTTCTTTATGGAATGAGAAAAGAGGAACTTCCATTTTCAAAAGCTCGGCACATTATTTATTGAAGGAACTAGAGGTTCCTAAAGGTCTGGGGTCTTAGGAGACATTGATTGGAAAAGTACTTGGGTGCGTGCAGGAGATATTAATGAGTTTTACTTTTCGCCTTGAGGAGTTTGGGGGGACCACTTTAATGTGTTCTAGGCAAGAGAGTGAGATCTGGTTTTGACTTTGGAAATATCACCCTGGGAGGAAGATAAATGGTGGATGGAAGGCAGACTAGTAATCTTTGACTACCTTTTTGAAACAGTCGCTGCTCGCCCAGACCCTATCACCCTTCTCTGGCTCATTTTTTTCTATAACATTTATCATCATCTGACAATCTAATTTTGTTTATTCTTCAACAAAAATAGACATAAGGACAGCATTTTAAAAATTTTTTTTGGTTTGCTATATCTCCAATACCTAGAACAACCCTTAAAACATAATAGATGATCAATACATAATTTTAGAATGAATGAATACAATGAAGAAAGAATAGAATTGGCAAGGCATGATTGTTGGTCAGATGGTAGGAGGTATGTAAGTAGTGGTAAAGGAGCAAATGAAGTTTCCTAGGTTCTGGTGAGCTTACGTGAGTGGGTGGTACACCAGTCAATGAGATAGGGAACCTTTGGAGGAGGGGAAGAAGCATTTGGAGGTGAAGGAGATAGTGGACGATGAGTTTTAGCCACCTGTAAGATATTTAGGGGAAAATTTAAAGAGATAAGAGAGGACTTTGGGCTAGAGGAGTAGATTTTTCACCTTCGGAGTCTTTATTCATTCAAAAAAGTGTTCCTTGTGTGTTCCTTTATTCCAGATGCTATGTTAGGCCTGATGGGTACAAACTGAGATCATGCAAATGAATGACCTTATTCACAAGATGACAATTGCTACCATAG